CTCTATCTTTCGAGATGGAGGACCGGAACTGCATATTTTTTGGGAGCTACAGAGTCAGCTCAAGACAAAGAGCACAGGCTGAAAGTCACTGGAGCTATCGTTGCTAATCTGGACACCATTATTCGGCCGTACTGCAAGCCTCAGCTCGACAATGAGCGGCGAGACCACCTCCTCAAGCTCTGCAAGCGAGCTCATGACCTGGGACTCTTGCTTTTGTCTCAGCCAGCCGAGTGGGGTTTCTACTGGGGCTACGGGCAGAAACCGCGTCGACCCGAGCACCAGAGTCAAAGAACAGAAAGAGGCAGGAGAGAACCCTTGGTGGTTCAGCCGCAAGTCTGCAGACTCACAGACAACATGGCTCGTTTGTTAGATCGGCCACTAGTGATTCTCGAGCGCCACGTCCTGCATTAGATATTAGGTGCCAAGAAGTGCCATGTTCCGGGTCTCTAACCATATGGTACTGTACTCTTGCCCCGGGACCCGCTTGATGGCTGGGAAAGGTGTGCTTGCTTTGGCTCAGTGGTGGCACGACCGGGGGCTGTGTCAAAGCCGATCAGGGTGCTGTTCGACTTATCTTTGGCGGCGTTGGCGAACGTTTGCACCTCAGCCTGATCGGCCAGTCACTCTTTTTGTCACTGCTCGTAGGTCTACGTAAATATATGATATTCGAGTGATGACCGGAAAGTGACCTCTCTGCTATCTATATCGTCTTATACTCGTTTATGAATCCCACCATGGTACTTGACAGTTGAAGACTGCAAAGGGAGCTTATGCTGTTCTTGTGTTGCGATCAGGCTGAGAATCAGGGGCTGAGGCTAAGGAGGCTGTTTCGTGCCTGGCACCTTCCAGGAAGAGTACTAGCGCTAAGCCCCGGATTGATGGAGGCTTGCATCCACTTTCCACACCTTTCCCCCTTACAACATGGAGGGCCTGACTGAATACGAGTCCTGATCTCTTCTGGACCCTGTCTTTCAGAGCCTCTTTCCTACTATCAACAGCATTCCTCCGCTGCTTTTATTGAACATGCTTTATTGAATGTGAAGGCTCTTCGTAACTAGTCCGTCAAAGCTGTACTGCATGCCCAGACTTCTATCTACATAGTCGTCCAATGAGAGGCGATGATACTTCGTGATATCTCAGCCATGGCACGACTCGTCGCTTCCAGATCCATAGAGCTGTTGCCATGAGGGGTTGGAAATCTCTTTTTGGAAATGCTAGCAGCTGCTCTCTCGGTCACAAGACTCACGACACTGGAAGATCTGGAATGGAAGAGATTTCCTATCAGACAAACTCAATCGTCCCAAGGTCCAGCACTCCATCAACACCCTCCTAGGGGCCGGAGCGCACCTAAACGTCTGTACCCTCGCCCTCGTCAACACTTCAAGCGTGTCCTTCACCGCCTTCTGATCGTGATAGCGGCAACATGGATCCCACAAGCATTGCCGGCGCACTCTTCTCCGGCCTCAACGCAATTGTCAAGGGCGTCAGTTGTGGAGCACACTTCATCGACGTCCCCAAAGAAGTCACCCAACTGCAACAGAACATCCAGACCGCAGACCAATCCATCAACACGGCTAAGCGCCTTGTGAGGCTCAAAAGCCATTACCTCAACCCGCACCTCGTGAAAGAGAGTCAGTCGAGCATCGACGCCGTCGAGAACGTCCTCCGACATGTCCGCGACTCCATCGAGGACTGCCGCAAGGACCTGGAAGTGAAAAATACGGTCAGCGTTAAGCACCGGGCGATCTGGGTGTTGTGGAAGAATCAGGAGTTTCTTTCCAAGTTGGAAACCTTGAACACCTGCCTCGGCGCATTGAACAGGGACATTCTGCGCTTGGAGATGGCGAGTCCTCCACCGCTTGTGCTCGTCGGTGGTATGCCATTGGTAGCGGACCATGGAGACACACATGTCGATCCCATCCGCGATCCAACAACCACAAGGCTGAGATCCAAACCCAGTTTCGCGCGCAGTCCGTCCAAGCGCTGGCTTGGAAATGCCAGTACCAGTACTTTCGACCTCAATTCATCGGCGAATACCAGCAGAGTCGACCTCAGGTCCATGAAGAGCAGCAGCAGTATCACGCTCAGTCCGGACAGTCACGACCTCAGGCCTATGAAGAGCAACAGCAGCATCACTCTCGTGTCGGAGAGCAAATACTTCAGTCCTGGACCAGGCCTCAGGACTGGGGATGGTGATGAAGGATATCAAAGCGATGATGGTATGTCAACCAGATCATCACGGCTCGGGCAGTCGCACAACAACCCTTTCGCAAAGCCAGACGATACGGACGACAGCATCAGCTTCGTCGCTGGCAGCGGCCTTAGTATCGATCCGGACGACCAGAGAACCTCCACTCCCCGGAGCGGATCGAGAATATATGCCCGTTCCGACCATTCGTACGTCTCAGAGCCAGTCCGTCCCACCGATGGAATCAACAATCGCCACGTGCCAAGCGCGCATATTGTATACGAGCTGCCAGGATCATACCCGAGCCTGGTTCCATCACCGAACTCTGCTGTGCCAGACCCGTTTACTTCGAACAACCCTTGGGGAGAGATGACACATGAGCTTCCCACCCCAGATTTTGACTGGGACAGCAGAAGGAATAGAGGCAAGATGTCTTATGTGCCGCCCATAGTCGAGGATGAGCAGGACACAGATAGTCAATATTCGGGTGCCAGTTTGCTCTCCCCAAGCGTGACAGCACCGGCATCCATGGTTTCGGCACCGTCCGGGACTACGCCGTCAACGACCAGCGACGCTGCTTCTCTTCTGTCCGATTATGAACAGAAGAGGTTGAGGAGGAGACGGCGGTCGGACTTCATAAGTTGAGGCCGGTCTCATTGGAGACCCGTTTCCGAGGGAAATTTGGAAACAATCCAGCTGCGATCACACATTTTCACTGGCCGCATCTGCTGAGGCCTCCTGGCGGGAGGTAGGCAACACAGCTGCACCAGCATCAGATTCAGGCCCCTTGGTCGATGCAGCGGTCCGCACTCGATAAGCCTTGAAGCCACCCTCCGTTTTATCTTCTCCCTTCTCCGGCCACAGGATCTGTTTGTTGACGATTGCCCGGATCATGAAGCCGACGACAACACCCCATGCAAGTATCAGGAGACACGTCATGACGCATCCAATGATTCTTATCGCATCAACATCGAATGCCTTGGCTATAGCGAACGTCGCCGTCGTGAGTGCAGTTTGTGGGAAGATAAAGCTGAACCACGTCATGGAAAATGGCATGTGGTGATTCTTCCTAAGACATTCGAGATTGGAAAGTAGGCTGATGAAGAAAAACCACCATGCCAAACCCCACAGCCAAAGAGACATCCAGTTGGCGCAAAGACGTAGAATTTGTGCAGCTAGGACGCCCGGAACACCCTGGAATGTGGACGAGGGAGATGAAGCGATCACAGTATGCAGATTCTGCGCCATGCTGATGGTCCCGCTGACAGTAAAGGCTGATGGTCCCACAGACACGAACATGCCTGGACGCAATGGCTCCGCCGGAAGTTTCTGTGTCATCAGTCGGTAGACAAATGCGGAATATATCGTCAACGAGACGAGGAAGCCAATGCCTTGTATCGTGAAGCCTCCAATGATAACGCAAATGGCGTTGCGCGAGCTTATCACTTGAGCTGATATGTTGGCGGCGTGAGGGCCCATGATCAGTAGAGGGTATGCCGGAAAAATCCAGATGGGCGTCATTCGCGCGATGGTAAATGTAAGGCTGGTCCATAGGGTGAGGTAGATGGCTATACTCAAGAGAACGGCCAGAGCACCGTCGATCCAGAATAGGACTAGAATGGTCTCGTCGAGCCAAGCGCCGACGCGTCCGGTCCCGTACTCGACGACATTGATCAGAATTGTGCCGAAAGAGACGGCGAATGCAGCGACGAAGAGTGATTCTGTAGGGTGCGTGAAACTGGCGCGGAATGTCCAGGGATATAGTACGAAGCGGGCGATGATCATGGCCCAGATCAGGATGTAGAGAACGATATTGAGCAGGAAGAATATCAGCCCGATCGTGTAGAGGCCGTTGAACTGGTATGGTACCGCATGCAGAACATTTGCGATACCACCTGTGGCCATGGTTAAAGTGAACCAGGCCCAAGTGACATGTTCGACCCTCTGCTTCCAAGACAGATGTTTCGGTTTATCGAAGTCATCGTCATTACCACCGCTGCCATCCCCGTCATCATCGTTAAGCCCTCTTCTGCTTCGCTCTTCATCCGTGCTGTGGTCGTGATCATTCTGAAAGTACCGGTCCAAAAATTGCGCCGACAGACGCATCTGATTTGCTGCATGCTGTGCGTCTTCGAGGGTAGGCTTGCGCCATCCGTCGTGATCACGACTGTGCGACGTTCTCACGCTGGGATGGTCGAGATAGCCATCCACCGCGGCGCCGTTTGCAAATGCACGGGGTCGGGTACGCTGAATGATCGATCCGTGCAGCGAAGCTGGTGCTGAGTTGTGCACCGCCGGCATCGTCGCATCTCGTATGTATTATCGGACTATCTGCCGAGGCTCATACGGAGGTACTCCGCACATACGATTGAGGTGAGTTGCGTCGAGTTGAGATTCGCTGCCTTGTCCAGCTTGCTCGCCAACCTTCCATGATCGATTTGACGGTTAGAAAGGAAAACAAGCAGGATCTTGAGGTCGGAAATTTGTTGCCCAAGGTGCTAATTGAACTCGTCAGTGTGTGCATGGTTGAGTTTTCTACGAAAAAGAGCCGAGATACACGTACCATGACGTTGCCGTAGTTCCGTCTTATCGACACAGGCGATGCCGGGATTGGCGCTGGGTCACCGATTGGTACCTCTTCGGGAAGGCTTTTCCTTGCCCTTGCCGACGTTCCGTCTCGGGCATGACAAGACACGATGGTGGATCCCGAGCTGATCTTCTTTTCTTTTGTCATTTATCAAAGGCGCTCAAAAATGCTTGAAATCCACGCTGATTGATCGGTTCGAAAAACCATCACTGCGTAGTTCCACATGGGCAAATGGTCTAGGGGTATGATTTTCGCTTCGCATCATCCAAACATGCAATTGTGAAAGGTCCGGGGTTCAAATCCCCGTTTGGTAAGCATTCTTCCAGGGTAGCGACTCAACTGTGTTCTAACGATTTATAGTCCATTCAATCCACCTTTGTGGTCAAGTTTTTTTTGGGGTCGAGTTGGACTCCCCGTTCAAGTTCAACTCAGGATTGGTGCCTCGATAAAGGCTTCCGGCTGGAATAACCTGAGGTTTGTGGCTCTGTTTGGGTCTTTGTAGGAAGAGCACTCTTCGTTTGGAGGTGTGTTGACTATGTAGTTTTTTGGGGGGTAAATAATCACTGCAAACACCCTGTTTTCGAGGTGAAGTGAAAATCTGGCTCGAAAGTGCAGAAGGAGGGGTTGGTGGGCGTGGGAGTGGACGGAACGGTGGATGTTTTGGAAACAAGAAGAAAGATAAAGGCGAGCAAGCGAAGAAGGAAAGAACGATCGGTTGAGCCAAATCAAGAGGAAAGGACAAGCCTCCAGGCGGGAAAGCGCTGGGAAACAGTGCTCCTGTGGTAGGACACAATCGTATGTTGACACACTATGTCGTGGGAACAGACCGGTCAACTGTTGTAAGAATCAATGGTGATATATAATGCACAAGGTCGAAAATGCAAGCCTCAATGGTATTTGGCGCCTATTGCCGACAAACGAATACAGTAAGTTGCTAGTTGTTCGATCCTGACACAGAATCAACCGTGCCCACGAACCCAGCTGGGGGTTTAGATACCGAGAGAAAACTCCACGCCAACATCAATATCTCTGGCCATCTTCACAATCTTGGAAAAGTCCACAGCTTTGGCCGCGCCTTCCTGAAGATCGGTAATGGAAAAGATCTTTAGTCCCGAGTTGTTGACCTGTGTTCGAGGTGTTAGAAAACCATATCTTCTGATCCGAGTGCAATTACTTACCAACTCAGCCGCCTTTTCCATGTTGGTACCTTGCAATCGACATACAATGGGTAATCGCAAGTTCATCTGTTCTACAACGTTGATCAAACCTTGAGCGATAGCGTCACATCTGACGATACCACCAAAGATGTTGACGAAGATCGCTGTGACCTTGGGGTCACTGGTGATCAATTCGAAAGCAGACCTGATAGCCTCCGGCGTGGCACCACCTCCGACATCCAAGAAGTTGGCTGGTGTGCCGCCGTTCAGCTTGATGATGTCCATAGTTGCCATGGCGAGACCAGCACCATTGACAAGACATCCGATATCACCATCCAGCTTGATGAAGTTGAGGCCGAACCTGCACGTGTTAGCTGGGATTGTCCTTGGTATGTCGGTTTGTCATACTCTGCCGCCTTGACCTCATCAGCATCCTCCTGCGATGGATCTCTCCAGCTGAAGACCTCCTTCTGTCGGAACTCTGCATTGTCGTCAAAGCCCAACTTGGCATCCATAGCCAGGACCTGATGATCGCTGGTTTCGCTGAGAGGGTTGATTTCGATTTGTGTAGCATCCTTGTCCATGAAAACCTTGTAGAGTCTCTGGATTGTGTTCTTGGCGTCTTCAATGCATTGCTCGCTGAAACCAACTTCTGTCGCGATGTTTCGGGCAATCTCGTCGGTCACGCCTTCTTCGATAGTGATAGGGGTTGTGATGATGGCATCCGGAGTCTCCTTGGCCACAGTCTCGATATCCATACCACCTTGCGAAGAAGCCACAATGACGGGCGACTGGGTCGATCGGTCCATAAGAATGGCAAGGTAGAATTCTCGGCGGGCGAATTTACGTTCGCAGATGTAGACTGAATTGCAGATACGTCCGCGGGCACCGGTTTGTTTCGTGACGAGTTTGTGGCCGATCATCTGCTGTGCAAACATCTTTGCTTCTGTGGGACTGCACAAGCTGTCAGCAAGACACTTATCGTAGAGGTGAGGACGGCCTACGAATAGATGACCCTGACACCACCCTTCAAGCCGTTGTCAAAGGTACCTTTACCTCGACCACCTGCGAGAACTTGAGCTTTGATGACCATATCATCTCCCTCTGTTGTATGTCAGTCTCTTGTCCGTTCATTGAAAAGCTAATACTCCGTACTGATATTCTTCGCAATGGCCTCGGCCTCTTGTGGTGTTGTTGCAACCTCTCCATCGGGCACTCCAATTCCATACTGTCGAACGTTAGACACTCGTATCTCCGTGTAGTGAGGTATATCAATGGTCATACTTGTTTGAGTAATCTTGCAGAGAGGTATTCGTGTATACTGAGGTTTCTTTGCTGCTGGAATGAGGTGCGCGCTGGGGTAGCCTGTTTCACGTGTCAGATTTGCTGCTCAGGAGCGATGAGGATGTTTTCATACTCTGATAGCCTTGAGGGCCGGGCCCAGACTACGACGACCCAGCTTGTACATTGCGTGCACAAGACTAAGGGTTTGTTGTAATGTGGTGGACTGCAGAGAGAACTGGACTGCGATCCAGACAAATGGTATGTACAGTATCGGGGCTGGTCGGTCGGTCGCAAGCTCGGCAAGCTGCGAAAGTCCCTAATTCAACTGGATTCGGTAAGCTAATCGGCAGCCAATCACGGCTTCTTCCCCTTGGCACCATGGAATTGATTCCTCTCGACGTCCTTGAACCGTCCCTTCTACTTATTGGCCCTGTGCTTGAACATTCGATGTTAGAGCCTACAACGGAGGCTGTGTGCGGACTAATTCTCGCACGGGACTCTGGCGATATACAGTTATGGCTTACCAACCAGAGCTTCTGGGCTCTAACGTGGACAGCAACGTCAAGCCAAGGTAAAAAAGGTCCTAACTCGGAGCAACGCCTTGATTGGGGGAGGCCTACCTTGTACAATGAAGCCATGCAGCAGAATCCGGCCGTGATCCCATTGCAAAAGCGGCTCATTGCTCTTTCATATCATGGAGTCATGAAGCCCGTACTCACCTCCTGAAGCTTAAGTCTTGAATGGAAACAGAAACCTGCTCTCATTGGACACATCCATCGCAACGGATATACTCCGTCTGACCCAAGAGTCAGCTGTCTGCATTAATGGCTTCCTATGTTGATTCATTCCAACCTGCCCAGGGCGGCATCTGATTTAAGTCTCACAAGAACCCAGGACAGCCCAATGCAACACAGCAAACCGCCCTAACTCTGGTTTCATCTCCCCTCCAATTCCATCTCGCTACTAACCATGGACTCCCTTTACCATATCCTCTACCCACTCAAGGCCCCAAGTCGCACCCGACCAACCTCCAAGCCGCTACAAATACTGGCTCTAGGCCTACCTCGAAGCGGCACAGACTCCCTTCGTCAAGCTTTACTGATGCTAGGCTACACCAATATCTTCCACGGCTTCGAACTTCCCTTAACCCGAGCAAACGACTGTATCGTCTGGGTTCCACTACTCCAAGCCAAAGACCGCGGAGACACGTCAGCAGTTGAGGCCTTCGACTTTGACACCGTCCTAGGTGACTGTGACTGTGTCTTGGACGCACCACCCTGCATACTGGCGAAAGAATTGCTCGACTTCTACCCGCACGCCAAAGTGATCCTAAACCGAAGGCGAGATGTCGACGCCTGGCACCGCAGTACGACCGAGGCCGTCAACATGCTGCTGAACAACTGGATCCTATGGACCTTACCCTGGTTCGACGCGCAATTGTTCTGGTGGTTCTGGACACCGACATTGTGTTTCAAGATCCTGGCCAATGGCAAATTCGAGCAGTTAGGCAAGCAGATTGCGCGTGATCATTATGACGGTCTGGAGGCCAAAATGCGGAAGGACGGCAGAGACTACCTTAACTGGGAAGTCACAGAAGGCTGGGGTCCCCTGTGTAAGTTCCTCGGACGCAAGGTACCAGCGGAGCCATTTCCTTCAGGAAACAGATCGGGGAAGGAATTCGAGAACAATATGACGCAGGCGATAGAAAGAATGGTCAAGCGAGCCGCACTTAAAGCGTTGTCAATCTGCATCTTGCTCTGTGGCACGGCTTTGGTGATCCGGTGGAGACGACAGCCTGATAATTAGTACGTATTTTGCTAAATATTGCGGCCGGCCCTCATATCACCATGATTATCTATGTGTTTTGATGGTGACTGGTTCGCGCTATTATCCCTTCGAACCGTTCATCCTCCACGTCCTACGTGCTGGTCGCATACGGCGCCAGGGTGATATCCACAGGTGCCGCGCTGTTAGGACACACGCAACCATTGTCAATGGTGCTGATACTTGTAACCGGCGGCACGGTACAATGCGGACTAGGTGTCCACGGCATCGAGGAAATCGTATGTGTCACCTGCGAAGGAAGAATCGTCTCGGCCTTGACCAGCACCGGGATCACTGCACCCGTGTTCAGCGAGAATGACCGGTGTCCAATGACTTCAAGAATAGTCCCAATCTCGCCCGAGTGCGACGTGAAGCTCATCCAGGTCGAGCAATCAGTCGTGAAGATATTGTCGAGTAATTGTTTCGATCGCACTTGCTGGGCACCGTCGGTTTCGGCGGTCACCCCGGTCCAGAGCTCATCGTACTCGGTGAAGTTCGCCTCGATCGGCCATGTTGGGAACATGTTGTGAATGTACGTCTTGTTGCTGCGGCGGTCGCATGTGTGCTCGGAGATTGATTCCCTCAATTTCTCCTTGATTGTAGGAAGGAACGGATTCTTGGCCGGCAGCGGAAGGCCAGAGAATGTCAGGTTGGCAGTTTCGAGGCATCGTGACAGTGGGGACACGTAGTAGCTCTGTGGCGTGGTGATTTTCTGGGTCTCGATGCGCGACAGCCAGAAGTTATTGGCCACCAGAGCTTGAGCGATGCCGTTATTGGTCAAGTGTGCATCAGACCAGGTTGCTGTAGCGTTGCCGTCAAGAAGGGACCAGTAGCAGTTCCAACCTGGAGTTCCGTAATAAGTCTGGGCAGCGTTGTGCCAGCCTTCGCCGTGGCGTCCCAAGAACAGTACCTTGTAGTCGACATTCTTGGGTGCTTTAGCATTAAGAGACTCGACCACAATGGCGAATCGTTGCCATTGAGTCAAAGATGCCGAATTGGCTGGGTCGGTCGGGTATGTCTGGTTGATGAGACCAAAGTTGACAGTTGTC